GATCTTGGAGGTAATTTCCAACATGGTCGATTCTATGATTCTATAAAACATACTATTATTATATACAGCAATGTAAATTTTAGTGTTTTTTCTCCACATAAACCAAAATATAGGTATTTACATCTTTCATGGAATTACAGGCTGGGTTGGAAAGGATCCATGAGGATCACCAAGGCAACTCCTGACTCAGCACAGAGCAACCTCCAAGTTGAGCCCCAGAGCAAGAAGCAATGCCCAAATAGTTCCTGCAGAGCCTTGGGAAGCTGTTCCAGTGGCTCTGGGAAACCACTGGATAAACATATACAAATTTTATAGATGTAAGTATACACACAGAAGGCTCATGTTCCCTTTGGAAGATATGTATGTATATATGTGAAGTGGTTTTGCCATCTCTCAGCTGGACTCCACATGCTCCTCCAATTCATTCAGGAAGAGGCTTTTCTTGCAATTCCTGCCCCTGATTAGGTGTGGGAAGAGCCCCTGGGTGAGGAGCAGCAGCCCCAGGAGGCCTCAGGGCAGGAGCAGCCTGGCTCTGCTCCCACTGCCATCACTTACTTCCTGTGGAAGGCATGTTTGCAGGGACAGATTCCCAGCTCATCCTTGGGCTTGAACTCCTCCAGGCACACAGCACAGATCTGGAAGGTGTGGGAAGCACAGGGAAGAATGTCAGTGGTCACAAAGCAACATTTGCACATAAAACCTATACAGATGTCTCTGAACCAGCCAAAATCACTGATTCACAGTATGGTTTGGGTTGGAAAGGATCTTAAAGATCAACTAGTTCCACCCCCTGCCATGAGCAGGGACACCTTCCACTAGACCAAGTCACTCCAAGCCCCATCCAGCCTGGCCTGGAACTCCCCCAGGGATGGGGCAGCCACAGCTTCTCTGGGCAACCTGTGCCAGTGCCTCACCAACCACACCACAGAGGGGTGAAATCCTCCCTAAAGTCTTCCCAAATTTCACTGTCCAGGCTTTGGGATAGCAGCCTGAGGCTCAGGTCTCCTTTTCCCAGTGGACGGGAACCCAGAGCACGAGCCTTGAGTGATGTGTTCGATGTGCCAGGAGCTTTTAGGGTGCAGGGGGCAGATCCACACTGCTGCTGTCCCTGGGCCCAAGCTGCATGCACAGAGATAACTCTAGGAGTAGGAAAAGGCAAAGGGTGTACCAAACCCAGGGCTGGGAAAGCTGGTGGCTTACACTTAGGTAAAAGACTAAGCCAAAACCTCCATCCCCCTCTGTCACTGCCAATTCTTCTTGACTCATTTTGGATATTCCCGGGGATTTTGGATATTCCCAGCTTGTTTTCCCAGCCCCTCTAGCATGGGAGTCTCTGTCAGTCCACAACAAGAGCAAGGCACAGCTGGTGAGACCATTCCCCAAGGAACACAAACATCCTGAGCTCCCCCAGGGCCTGGGAGAGGCAGAATGATGGAAAAAGGGGAAAACCAAACCCCGAGACATGGGAAGAGCTGGGTGGGCACTTTAACCTCCGCAGGCTCCGGGCAGCTGCCCTGTCATGTTGGAAAATTCCCACTCTGTGCTCTGCTTTCCAGAAACACTTAGTGTAAATGCCAAAATCCAAATGCTCAAGAAGGGATATTTTGAAGGAAAACTCTTCCAGCCTTTCCCAAACCCCAGGGAAGAGTTTAAGCTATTCTATCCCCTTCCTCACAGACCCCTCATCCTCTCCAAAAGCTGGGAGAACTGCAGAAAGCTGGGAGAGGTGGAGGAGGACGACAGAGAGTTACTGCTGCTGTTCCCGGCTCTGGCACATTCCCAAATCCCTCCCACAACCCGTTTCTCACCCCGGGAAGTGTTTTGAAGTCTGTGCGCCAGCAAAAAACCCACTGCAGGTTGGTTTAGTGGGAGCGGATCAGACACAGGGGCCTCCAGCAGGGACTGCTCCGAACCTTGGGATTTACCCCTTGGCTGCAGGGAGTGGAGGGTGAGGATAAAACATGGGATGGGCTCTGCTCAGGGAATTAAAATTAAACAAATAGTAGCTTATAAACAACTGGAGCTGGTACTGAGCCTCGTGCCCGGGATGTGGGTGGGCATTTCTGTTGTCATTAGGAGAATAAATAAATCCAGCCTGTGTTTGACACAGGATTAGAGCAGATTCCTGCAGGGAAAACAGGCTGTAAATAGGGACACAGCCCTCAAAAACCTGGAAGCCCACAGAGAACAACTAAGGCGCTTCAAACCTCACGGGGTGGGGGGGGAGACACGGATCTGCCTCTTCCAGGAGCCAGGGGAGTGCATTTATCCTAGATTTCAGTTTACCCTGCCCAGAGCTGTGCTGGATAGTCAGGCTCTGATGCTGGAGGGGATGTACCCGCCCAGGGACACTGTTTGTATCCGGCTCAGCCTGCCTTGGCCTCCCCTTATCCACAGCTCCTTATCGCTGCCGTGATAATAATGCAACACATTATACTAATGACACAGGAAAAGCTCAAGAGGAGCCAGGAGGAGGGAGAGGGTTTCATCCAAACCTTTGCAGAACTGCTTTCCCTATTCCCAAGGAGTTAAATTTGAGGTTCTGCCCCCTCCTCCCTGTGCCTGCCCTCCATCCCCTTCCTGGTGTGAGGAAGAGGAGGGTGAGGGAGCCTTGGCTGCCCTAGGGATGTGCTCACCTCATGAAGGTTCAGCTCCTTCACCTTCTCCTTGAGTATAACCTGCAAGACAAAGCACTGGGGTCAGGATGCAGCTTCTGCCATGAGCATTCCCAGGAAAAATCTCCATAATCTCATTGAGTGTCCCAGTAGAACTGGAAATGTGCCAGTAAACCCAGCACAGCCAGGGAGCATGTCAGGTCTTCACCCCTGAGCAGGGACAGGAGGAAGGCAGTGCTGGCACAGATATAACCCCTAACAGAAGGACCAAATCCAGGAGAATTCCTCCCAGATTTAACCCTACTAGGCTCCCACACTGCCACAAGCTCCTGCATGGATGTCTGCCATTCCATTTTCACTCCATCCAAGCTGATCACCCGGAGAGGGCTATAAATCCAGGACAACTGTGTGTTATTAGCCCAGCTCCACCCAGTTTCCAGCTCCAACGATGGATCAAAGGCAGAAAAATCCCACAAACCCTGGAGAAAACAGGACATGGAAGCAGCAACCTGACACCCACCTCTCGGCCATGTTTAACTGGTGAGTGTGAGTGCAGGGGAGAGCTGAGCTTGCCAAGGTCACATGGAGCTGCTCCCTGGAATAGCCCTGTGGCTATAGCAGGGTTGGAGCAGCTGGATCCAGCCCTGGGAGCAGATTCAGACCCCACAAAACAAGGTTTGTTGGCTGGGGAAGAGATGGCATCACTGCTTCCCAGTGGAGAGGTTGAGGTGGTGTTCCCACTGCTCAGCTGAAAACACGGAGACCTGCGGATGAGCAGGTCAGATGGTTCTGGG